AGACAGACAGACAGACAGACAGACAGACAGATGTGAGGGATGCTAGAGGGCTATGGGATCAGGGTCATTGGGCTTTGCAGAGCATTAGTGTTGGGTGAAAGCATTCTGGAGTAGTGTTAGGAGGTGGGGAGCTGGGAAGAAAGCATTCACAGAGAAAAGCACTTGTGGGAGGGTGTTAAGTAGGATGTGGGGGTGAGGGCTGAGATGTTTAAAAGAAGGATTTTGGGGGATGCTGAGAAAAGAGGTGGGTGAAGGAGATCTTAGGAAAAGTTCTGTGGAGCAGGGAAATGGGGTGTGAGGGAGAAAGGGTAAGGGGCCTGGGAGAGATGGGGCTCTGGTCCTGAGTGACAAATGGAAATGGCAAGGCACGAGGATCCTCTTCTGCCTTCCCTTTCCCTTCATGCACCCTGGAAACCAATCCTGAAGCCCCTTCTGCTGAGCAGACATTTCTCCCACCCCAGTCTCCCACCCTGGCTCTCTCTTCCTGTTTCTTCCTCCTCCTCAGCCCCTCCCCCACAGCAGCGAGTCTGTGCCCTTGCATGCCTGCCCTGCCCCCAGCACCCACCCTGGGCTCCCCTACCCCACCCCTCCCAGAGGGACCTGACCTGGGGCTGATCACATCAGGGGCACCCTGGAAGCTTTCCTGAAGCTTGCTCTCCAGCCCGACGCCCACCTTGACCAAGTAGGAGGCAGGGTCTACAGCGCAGGCCCAGTAGCTGCGGCCCTGGGTCACAGCCACATCGCCCAGGACCACATCCACACTCAGGTGGCAGCCAGTCAGCAGCCGCTCAGCAGCCAGTAGCAAGGGTAGCCCTGGGACACTCCGCACGGCTCGCTGGTCCTTGCTGATGGCCAGCCGCTCTCGGCTTGCACCCCAGCGGCCATCGAGGAAGAAGTGCAGGACTGGAAGGAGGAGGAGGGTTAAGACAGAAGGAAGGACTCTAGGGACAAACACTGGCACCAGGGACTGTGAAGTGTTAGCACAAGATTTTAGAAGAGGGAACAAGTCAAAGGCTTCGGTCATTAGAAAGGGGGGGGGGCAACAGGGGACTGGGCCTGGGGAGCCGAAGTGAGAAGGCATGCTTGGGACCCCAGGAGAGTTTTAGTGGTGACCAATGGGACAGAAACCATTATCCCAGACCTGGCTCACATGCTTCTTCCAACCCTTTTCTCATGGCTGTCCCAGTAGAGAGTCTCCACTGTTGTCCTGTTGTGCCTGGTGACATTCCCGTCACCACTCTAGTGCTCACACCTGGCCCCTGCATCTAGCCCTGGCCCTGTTTGCCCTTTACGTGGGTGCAAACTATTTTCTAGAGCCATTTTATTGTTGCAGTTGTTTTTTTCTTTTTTACAGTTCAGGGGATTGAACCCAAGACCTCACAAACAAGGCATGCACACTACACTGACCTATGCCTTGTATACTCCTCTCCTCCCCCGCCCCCCCACCCCCTGGTACCAGGGATTAAACTCAGGACCTTGTGCTTGCCAGGCAAGCGCTGATTTTACTGAGCTATCTCCCCTGTCCTTATACTTTTTTTTTTTTAATGTATTTAGTACAGGGTCTACAAGGTCTCACTGCACAGATCAGACTCATAGTGATCCTCCTGTTCTCAGCCTCTCAAGTGCTGGGATTACAGGCATGTGCCACCATGCTGTCTCAGCATGCCCTGGGGGGCAGGGCTGGCATGGTACTCCGGGGACTGAACCCTGGTCCTTGCACCTACCTAAGCAGACACTTTAGTTTGCTGAGCTATCTGGCCTGCCCTTGAGCTATCTGACCAGCCTTCCTTTTATAATAATAATAATTATTATTATTTATTTACGTATTTGGTACAGGGTCTCACTACGCAGCTTGGACTCATAGTGGTTCTACTGTTTTCAGTCTCCCAGTACTGAGATTACATGTATGTGCCATCATGCCCAGTGCTGGGGATCAAATCCCAGTCCCTGCACTTGCCTAAGCAGGTGCTTAGTCCACCGAGCTATCTCACCGGCCCAATAATTATTATTATTGTGTCACTGTTATGGTTACTAGATGGTACTGGGTTTGAATCTAGGGTCTTTTCACTGAGCTGAATCCCTAGTCCTTTCTAATTTTTTTTTTTTTTAAATTTTGAGACAGGGTCTTACTAAGACATTAAGTTGCACAGGCTGGGTTGAACTTCCATCCTCTTGCCTCAGCTTCCCAGAGTGTTTGGATTACAGATGTGCATCACCACACCTGGCTTATTTTTTATTTTTTATTTTTTTTGCAGTACCGGGGATGGAACTCAGGACCCTGTGCTTGCCAGGCAGGCACTTTATTCTACTGAGCTATCTCCCCAGCCCCTTATTTTTTTATTTCTTATATTGAGACAGAATTTTGCTAATTTGCCTATATTGGCCTGGAACTTGCCATCTTCCCACCTCAACCTCTCAAGTAGCTGGGATCACAGGCATGCACCACTCTGCCAGGCTATTTTTGCTAACAGTTACTGAGCCCTTACTAAGAGCTCTCTTTGCATGTGCTATCTCACAACAGTTTAATTTTCACACTAACTATGATGTATTATTATCCTTCCCATAGAACAGGACTCTGAAGTTGAGAGAAGGCATAGAACTTGGCCAAGACAAACAGTTGCTAAGAGGCAGAGCTGGGGTGGAACCCAGGCAGCCCAGCTCCCGAGAAATCCTGTGTGACCCACAATATTAAACAGCCTCTCCAGGGCCCAAGTGGAATCAGCTGAGGACCAAGGGTGACATCCCAGTCTCTCTGCTGGAGCACCTATGCCTGTCACTCACCAGGTGCTGGGGGCGTGTGCAAGTGGACATCCTCGCTGTACTCGCCATAGCCGGCCTTATTGCAACCCCAGACACGCAGCACATACACAGAGCCTGTGTCAGGGTTCTCAAGAAGGGCACTGGTACCCCTCACCTCCTCCCGCCGCTGCCAGCGTGTGGGGCCTTGCTGGGCAGGAACATCTGTGCGCCGGAACTCAACAGTGTAGTGCCAGGCAGGTGGCGAGTGAGGGGGCAGCCGCCAGCACAGGAAGATCTGATCATAGGCAAAGGTACGCTGGGTGTCGATGACAGGAGCCTCAGGCACTGTGGGAAGAGATAATGGGGGTCAATCAGGGCCTGGCCATTGGCCTGGGATGGAGGGCAGGGCAGGCAGGAAAAGGGAAAGCAGCGGGAGCCGGGGGGATGAGTGTGGGTGAGGGAACTGGGAAAAGGACCCATCTGGACTCCCAGCACTGAGTGGGTGGAGCCCAAGGGAGAAAGAGATGGGAGAGTTGCTGGGCAGGGGTCAGCAGGGCTGTGCCCTGGTTCTGATGAGCTGCCACCTGACTCTGCCCCTTTCTGAGCCTCAATTTTTCCTCTTCAGTCAAATGGGGCTATCAGAGCAGATTATTCCTGAGGGCCCTGGAAGCTTAGATAGTCTATGAGTTAGCAGGAGCCCCAGGGCTGGGGAGACAACTCAGTAGTACAGTGCCTGCCTGGCAAGCACAAGGTCCTGAGTTTAATTTCCAGTAAAAAAAAAAAAGAAGAAGAAGGAGCCCCAGGGCAAGGTAGGTACAGGCCACTGGAACCCAGGCAAGAGGGCCCTGAGCAGGAAGGAAGGGTATGGGGTCAGGAAGGAGGTGCCAGAGACAGCAAGACAGAAAATAGGGAGATGACAGGGAGAGCAAGCTCGCCAGCAGAACAAGACAAGTAGGCCAAGCGAAAGAGAGTGAAAGTCCAGAGGGCAAGGGTCACAATGACAATGGTCAGAAGGGCCAGGAAAGCACCTAAAGAAGGCAGAAGAGAGACAGAGCACTGGCCAGGCAGGACTAAAAGGTCGGTGAAGGCAGGAAAGAAGGAAACAATGAGTATGTGGCCAAGCTGTAAGCTGCATGGGAGTGGGGTCAGGGAGGAGGCCCGGCGGGGGGCAGGACCCCCGGGGCAGGGCCGCTGACTTGCCTGGGGTGCTCCGGAGCAGAGTCCGCGGTGGCCACAGCCTACAAACAAAGAGAGGGAGAAGCAGCGCTGAGCGCAGTAGGACAGTGTGGCAGGGTGGGAGGAGTGGCTGGCCAGGCCAGGCAGGAGGCCAGGAGGTCCCTGGTGGGCACTGCCCCCCGGGCCCGCTGCTGGGGAGGAAGGGAAGAAGGCTCTGCTTGGGCATGGGCCTGGCCATCTCCTTACCTCGTAGGAAGTTCAGCTCTGTCAGCAGCTTCATCTCACGCCCCACGTCCAGCTGGCAATGGCGGAAGGAGGAGCTAGCAGCTGGCCGGAAGGT